GTAGTTGATGTTTTCCACAATCACATGAGTCGAGGTCGAAAATGCCGTCCACTTCAGCCGGGATGAGAACACTTTTGGGGAAAGCAAGGCTCTACTCAAAGGATTGTGGTAAAAATCAAGCATGATTCTTTCTTCACCTTACACGAAATTGTGTGAACACGCAACTCAAACATCTGATCTACTGGTAGTACCAAAAGAATACTCACTTACGTAAAAGAAGTGTGAACATAACTCATAATATTTTTGCCCCGCTTTGACGATGTCTGTCCTGATGGTACAGACGAAAGCTTGGAACGAGCTCTTCCGACTTGCAGGACGGTGGGCAGAAGACTTCTTCGCACAGCCCAGCAGCCTTCCAGTTTTTGGTGGGACTATTTCGTGGAATTCCGTTTGATCAACTTTTCATTCGAGATGGAAAATCATGCACAACTCTCTTCGTTTGTCTTTGAAACTCGCCAATATATCATTTCATAATCCTTCTCAAAACACATTTCTGTGTTGAATGAACTGAGGCCTTTCGGTCAACCATTAAACCGGATCTCGTGGGCTAGTCTGCCCATAAACGATCATGATCCCGTTTCCTTGAACCCAAGACCGTGTCAATTTTGAATGCATCTGCAGTACCTGGAGGCGGGTCTTGATGCCAGACCAGTTGCCGGTGGCGATAGAACAGAAGAAACGAAGGATCTCTCTGAAGTAGCACAGCTCGGTTAATGTGACATACGGCGCGAAGATAACGGCCAACTGTCACACTTTGTTGTCCCTCTTGGCCACGGCAGACAGTTCATATTTGGACGGACAATTGGACACCAACGGATATGTCGTGTGGCACAACATCTCAACTGAAACGACAATCTTAAATGAATAAATAATTCAATCTTGCCATTATTAGTCTTATCGCCTTCAGCCAGTCTATCCACATTCGACTGCTGACAGCCGGTCAGTCCATGCCATGTGGTGTGTAGGGGTGTCCGGAGATCTATCGGTCATCTCTTCCGAATCACCCTCGAGAACACCCTTTGGCCCTGGAGCGATGAACAGCTCAAGCTGTTGTTTTGGCAGCGGCGTCGACTTTCGAAGTGTCCTGATCAAACTATCCATGCATACACCAAAAGGAGGAGAGAGAGATAGATAGATAGAGAGAGGGAGAAATGAAGAAAGATAGAAGGAGATAACATACTTGGCACAGGCGCTGGACTGCAATCCTTAAACAGTGTCCGCGCAACGAGTTCCAGGAAGAATCAGCAAAACATACGCACACACATAAATACGTACATTT